TTCTTTCTTTCAACCTTCCCAAAAAAACTCAGAAATATCATGACATATTTTTCCAAAATTCAAGCTTCTAAACATAAATATTAAAAAAAAAAAAAGAAATCGAACCCTCGCTGGGTTCTTGATTGAACCCAGTGATCTGCTGGGCAAATTTTTTCCCTCAACCAAATTTTGCCAAATTCTCAATGAGAACAACCCACACAAACAAAATATTCACTAGCAAAATAATCAGCTGCAACCCAAAAATATCCATAAAATTCAAGCTTCTAAACATAAATATATATTTTTTTAAAAATCAAGCCTGGCAAATCGAGAATCCAGCAGATCGAAGAACTCAGCACGTTTGCCTGGGTTCGCACCGAACCCAGCACGCTTGGGTTCCTTGCGAACCCAGGCGCTGGGTTCGCAAGGAACCAAACCCAAGCGTGTTGGGTTCCATCAAACCCAGCATGCGAACCCAGGCAAGCGTGCTGGGTTTGGTTCCTTGCGAACCCAGTGCCTAGGTTCGCAAGGAACCCAGCGCCTGAGTGGGTTTGAAGGAACCCAGGCCTGCTGGGTTTCGAGGGGAAAGAGAAGGGAAAGGAGAAGGGGAAGGAGAAAGAGAAAGGGAAAGGAGAAGGAGAAAGAAAAAAGAAAAAAAGAAAAAAAGAAAAAAAATTTTAAATTTTATTTTTTATAATATTTTTTTATATTATTTTTTTTCTACATCATCACTTTTTGGCTATATTATCTTCCACGTGGATTATTATATGACATGCTATTTGATAACCGTGAAGTAACAAGCCACGTTACACAATTTTTAATAGAAGGATCAAATCGGAGTAAAAATGGTAAATAGTGGGGATCAAATTAGGGATTTTTTTAGTTCAAGGATCAAATCAAAGATCCGTACAATAGTTGAGGGACCAAAAAAGAAGTTTAACCTAAAATGAAACGTGACAGTAATGTTATGGATGGACACATGTTCGTCAAACATGGATTCACGGGGGTGTTTGATTTTGAAACGTGAGTCGTTGATTAAATGATTAAAAAGTTAGTGTGAGTTAATTGTTAATAATTAATTCTGCTTGAAACTCCGACTCCTTTCACCCGAACACTTAATATTTGGGGCAGGACAATTGGGTGGGTTGGATGAGTTTTGTTTTGTTT